GCACAAGTAAAATTACTAGGTAACATCACTGGTGAATCTGCTCAAAAATCTATCGAATAACTCCAATCGTAAGCTGATCTATGTGCTTAAGGATGCGGCAAATGCTTGCTAGGAACAAGACTATAAGTCACCTGGTAATGCAAAAGTAGGCATGCGAGCATTCATCACAGTTTTTAGCTGAATCGTTTTGATCAAAATAAGGAGATCCCGTGCACGTCTAAAAACCATCTAATACCATTTCTCAACAATCTCCACTTGCAACCAACTCCTCTCGTTTTGAATTAAAATTTATATTAGGGTACGTAACTTGATTTGCCGCAAGTGCCACGTGGCGGTTATTAGTAGATGCAGGTCGCCTGGGTGAAGGACTAATTACCGTCAGTAGGTCTCAACTCGCGGACAGCTGTTCCATTTTCATGTTTCTTACAGTATAGAAAACGCCGAGTTCTTCTTAGTAGAGGATCTCAGCGAGTGTGTTAATCCATCTTAGAGTTCTTCAGTCCAATCAAGGTGCTCCACAGCGTCAATAGTTACATGTAATCTTAAATAGGATCAGTAGTTTGCGAGGTGGAGCCTGTTGGCGGTATATAGTCCTCCACCCCACCCCATGCCGCCTAATAGAAAGGGTAGTCCACCATGAATTAGAGTTGAACTACTTCGCTTTAATAGCCTCAGTGATACGTAAACCCGTTATTTCGGGTTGAATCTTATCACAACCTATATAAGGGCAGCATGGAGGTGGGTTGGCATATTTGCACCTTCGTTGCCGGAATCACTGCAGATGTGGATCGTACCGTTTTACATCGCGTTGGTCAGTGTGTTTCGTCTTCTCATGTGGCCGTAGACAACGCTGATTTTTGCAGGTTGTCGCATCTAACAATGTCAGAGATGGCGCAGCCCAAGAGAGCCGTCCAGAAGTGGATATTACAGAGCCGATCACGAATGTAGGTACTAAGATGAATACACTGTTGACCAATTACAGCAAGAATCAATCTTTTGCGCTGGATTGAAAGATGGTGCGCTTATAGCCTATCTAAGTTTAGGTACTTAGTACTCGGGCAGCAAAGACACCGAATTAGTCAAAATATAAAG